ATCAAGTGAATTTTATGTTAAATGAGAATTATGTTAAATGATATTTACGTCAAATGAAATTCATGTCAAGTAAATTTTATGTCAAATGAAATTTATGTCAAATGATATTTATGTCAAATGGATTTTGTGTGAAATGAGAATTATGTTAAATGACTTTTATGCCAAATGAAATTGATGTCAAATGAATTTTATGTCAAATAAAATTTTTGTCGAATACATTTATGTCAAATGAATTTTATATCAAATAAAATTTACGTTAAATAAATTTTAAGTCAAAAGAAATTTATGTTAAATGATTTTTTCAATTTTTTTTTTATTTTGTTAAATTGAATTTTATGACAAATGATATTTATGTCAAATGGTTTTTGTGTGCAATGAAATTTATGACAAACAATGTTCATGTTATGTGACGAAATTTAAGTTAAGTGGTTTTATATCAAATAACTATTTTGTCAAAAAAGTTTTCGGAGTTTGGTTCAAAAACTTTTTTTTTATTTTAAACATTGTTTCAGTGTTATGCAATCTTCACTTTTAAATTTAACGTCAAACAGTAAAAAAAATTTGACTTTTGAAGCATAACGTCAAGTTTAATGCTAAAGCATCCGAAGGTGGCAGTCAAATTAATTTCAGCTTTTAGAAACCTTTCGGTACCGTGTGTGTCATAAAATAAATAAAAAATACAAAAATATATTTATAATACTTGATAATAATTACAGAACATAAATTATCAGGAAAAGTCATTAGAGAGACTATAAATATTAGTCTGGTTAGAGAGAGAGAGAGAGAATTTAGAAAATGGAAATGCATTTAAATATATTATAGACGTAGAAAAGCTCAATGAATCCCTTTGTGGCGTGCGGAAAAGCTCCTAATAAATGAAGCTTATTTTCGTGGTTCCTGGGCTTTTAATTAAGACGAAAGAAAACCCAATAATCGACCATTCCCACCCTCTCTCTCACTCACTCTCTCTCTCTCTCTGCCGTTTCAAGTTGACGCTTCAAAAAATTAATTAAACTTTAATTAATACAGGTCTTTGAAATGCTAATACTAAAACAAACACGTGCGCCGTTTAATTCACAAGAATATGAAAATCCGATCTTCGTAATCGATTGTTTCCCTTTCCCCATATATATACTCTATATACACTCCCTCTTTTTTTTCCCTCCCGCTCTCGCGACGAACAATGGAAATTGCAATTTGTAACAGGATTTTTTCATTTCGAACGGCACTAATTAATAATTTTGCTGACGATAACGAATTTTACGTCTTCTGTCATTTTCTTCATTGCGTAAATTTTATAATTTGACGAACTTTTTTTTTATGCTGTTTTTACATTATACTACGAAATTGAATTAAATTATTATTTATTATTATTTATTTTTATATTTATTATTACTTATTATTATTTATTTTCATTACTTATTATTACTTATTATTATTTATTATTATTATTTATTAACATTTATTATTATTTCCAATTAATATTTATTATTTTTTATTATTATTACTTTTTCATATTTATTATTATTTCTGTTGTACTTTTTAAATCTGAATCAGTTACAAATATAATCCAGATAGCACGTAATCTTGAAAGAAGCTTAACTCTTAATTAATTAATTCATTCATTCATTAGTAGAATTAGCTTAGTTAATTAGTAGAAATTTTACAATAATCAGTGACTGATTTTCTTACTAAAAATCATCATTAAAAATCTATTCTTAAAATCAATATAGATTGGAATAGAATAAATTTTCATTTTCTTCAAAAATTAATTTCTCAAAAATATCCAAAAAAAAGTCTCTGAAAATTTTGGCGATTTTTAAGGAAACTTCAACCTTTAATTTAATTATTTTTTTAGAATAAATTTTTACGAATTTTATTTAAAAAATAATAATGTAAAAATTTAAATTAAGGTAGAATATTTTTAAAAAACGTTCCAAAAAATTTTTATATGAAACATTTTTTTCTATCTTTGTTAGATTTTGTAATAAAAATTCCATAAAAAATTACTAAAATGTTTAATTATCAATAACGTGTAAAATAATTTAAATTTAAAAAAAAAATTAAGAAGAAGAGAAAAAGAGAAAAAAAGAGAAAAGAGAAGAAAAAAGACAAAAAATAGAAAAGAATAAAAAAAGAGAGAAAAAAAGAGAAAAGTAATATTATTTTATATTGTTTTGCAAAAACTATTGCAAAAGCGAGAAAAACAAAAAAATATATACTATTCAATATTATTCTTTCTCGTTGAAAAGGGAGAAGATAAAAAAATTTAGAAAATTTAAATATGTACATCAAATTTTTATTTTATCACGAGCGACTATATACAAATGGTATTTTTCTATAGTGTTGCTAACAATTTTTCCTCACATTCGACACATTTGCAATTTTTTTCTTTATTTTTTTTTTTTTGTATTTTGAGCACACAAGTTGTATGACGTACTTTATTTTTAAATTTAATTTTTGTTTTCTGTTTCTCAAGAGTCTCACAATTATCAGTACAATGAGTTTTAAAATGATCATTCGATAATTTATTCATTATCATTATAATCATCGTTTCTCTGTTCTCTGGAAAAGATTCTTAGTACTATTTTTTTTTACTATAATGCGCATTTCTTCAATCTTAACATATTAATACTGCAATGATATTTTATTTCAGTAGACGATGCTTCACTTTTTCATTTTTTTATTTATTTTTTTGTTAACTATTTTTCTACAATTTAATACTGAGTACACTTTACAGATTTTTCTCGAAACTTAAGAATTGAAAATTAAATATATTTACTTTTTACCATCTTATATTTGTATTGATTTTCTTTTATCAAAGTCAAAAAAGAAAAATATTTTGTTTTATTGAAAAAATGATTTTTCGTAATTAATTGAATTTATAAAAAATTTATTATTTTTGAAAAGTAAATTCATTAATATCATACGCAGAAAAAATTATTTTTGTCTCAGAGCCTACTAAACTTTTTATTTGTTTGAAATTTTATTTTATTCAAACAAAAAATTTATTTCCTTTAAATTTTATTTTATTTAAACAAACAATTTATTTCCTTTAAATTTTATTTTATTTAAACCAAAAATTTATTTGTTTGAAATTTTATTTTATTCAAACAAAAAATTTATTTCCTTTAAATTTTATTTTATTTAAACAAAAAATTTATTTGTTTGAAATTTTATTTTATTCAAACAAAATATTGTATTTGTTTTAAAATTTTATTTTATTCAATGAAAAATTGTATTTATTTCAAATTTTATTTTATTCAAACAAAAATTTTATTTGTGTCGAATAAAATTTTTATTTCCAACAAATAAATAATCAAGGACTCTGAGACAAATTCACTTTTCTTTAACTCATACAAATTAAATTTGGTTCAAGTAAAATTTTTCTTTGGGTAAAAAATTAATTAATTTAAAATCAATTAATTAAATTATTTTTAAAAAAAATTTTCAGTTTTTTAGAGTCAGAAATTAAAGTTTGGTTCTTTTTTAAAATTAAATTTTTTTTTTAAATTACAGTTGCCTCTAGATAAAAACTGTTTGAAAAATGTTTCTTTTAGAGATGACATTTTTTTTTTAATTAAAAAAAATTTGAAAGAGAAAAATTTATAGAAACTAATTAATGCGTAAATAATGATTGTCCCTGAATTGAATCATTCACCATAAATTGTTCATCATCGAGGATATAATTCACTTTTAGAATTCATTCACTCATTCATTATATCCTTAATAATAATTCAATGCAATTTTCAATTCAATGCTTTTCCTTTTGTCATTTTTTTTTGTTCACAATTATAAACCTATTTAAAAATTTTTTTCTACAAAAATTTCCAATTATTCACAAAATAAATATGCGTCTATTTATTTCATGTGACAATTGAAAACTTTTATTTCCAATTACAATGAATATTTTTTTTATTTTTTCAATTAAAAGTCAGTGTTAAAAATTTTTTCCATAAAAATACGATCTTTCGTTTTTACCAAAAAAAAAACGTATTTTTCTCGCTTAATGGCAGTGCAATATTTTTTTCTGAATAAAAGCATTTTAATTAACAATGACAATGGATCCGGTACATAATATAAAACTGACAACTTATTATTCTCAAAGCGTTTACTTCAATATTGCACCTTTTGTCTCCATAAATGATTTCATCTACAATCAACTTTTTTTTTTTTTTTTAATTAATGGGAATAATAAAAAATTTGTATAGATAGCATTCAATTGTTTGTGTAAATTACATAACTCTTGAGAATGAGGAAGGAAGTTTTTGATAGATGAAATATTGTAATATATTATATGGAAAAAAGAAAAAATTCGTTATTTCAATTTTTATTTAATTATTTAATTATTATTAATTAGGATTAATTAAATTAATTATTAATTAGTTTTTTGTAAATCAATTTATAATAATAATAATTATAATCATAAATTTATAATTTATACAATAAAAAAAAATTTATTAATAATAATGAAATTATTAATTTATTTCAGTATGATTAAATTTTTTTTTTAAAGTATGAAAAAATGTTAAATTAAAGGAGGTGGAGAAAATTCACAAGAGTTACGTAATTTATAAGAAAAAAATGAGTTTTCATATTATTTCGATATACAATGACATACTTACAATTTACAAAAATAGCGAAATATATAATTCTATATTGAAAATAAATTTCCAAATTGAAGAATATACGAAAATTGTTTTCTAAAATTGGTTTTAAAATTGTTTTTAAAATTGTTTTTAAAATTGTGTTTGAAATTATTTTTTAATAATTCTTTTTAAAATTGTTTTTTAAAATTGTTTCTTTAAAAAGCACATAATAGTATAATTTTTACAAATTTCTTTATACAAATGCCGTTACGTTATATTAATAATTATAATTCTTATACAATAAAATATATTTACAATCAAACAAATAAAAAAAATCGAAAATTGCTTCTAGAATTTCTTCTCAATTTTTTCAAATTTTTTACGAATTATATTTTGAAAAAACAAAAAACAAAAAAAAAGAGAAAAATGAATTAAAAAAATAAAATGTAAAATTGTATTTTACCCTTTTGTCCATCCTGAGCATCTTTATAAAGTTAATAAGCGTCGAAAATAACGCCTTTTTGATGATTGCGCTTCTGCGGGAGTATTTTTTCTTCTTCATTCATTCGTTTCATTCGGAAATATCAAATTTCATCATATTAGATAAATTTTTCCGAGGAGGGGAAAAAAGGGGGTCGGGGGATACTCTCATTCTCTAATAAATATATTTGCACACGGGAAAGGGGGGGGGGGTATTTTTTTTTTTTTTTGTTAATATTAACACACTGGGCATCTCATGAAACTGAGAATAATAAAAAGTCTCTTTTTTTTTTTTTTGTCACGAGTGCAGTCGTTATAATTTGGGATTTAAATTTAATAAATTTTAGGTCCTCATTTCACACCATTTGAAGTCCTTTAGTGATACTTTCTACATGTTCCTTGGCCTTCATCCTGAGAGCTTGAATGCTCGAGGTCCTTGGATCGTGTCCTGGAGGACTGGATGGTGCTTGCACTGGCCCTCCGCCTATACTCGGCAGTCCCGCAGCAATGGCAGCTGTATTCAAACAAAAGAAAAAAAAATAATATTAAATCTCCTAAAAATTTAAAATTACATTACATGCAAAGAAAATTGCACATTTTTTTTGCAAAAAAAAAAAAAATAATGATGTACAAAATATTAATATTTTTTTCGGGAATTCGAGAGCTCGAACCAGTGAAAGTATTTAAAAATACGGACTTTACGGACAAAAAATGAAAAATTACGGACTAATTACTGACAAAAATACAACCAGTCCGAGTCAAATAAATTATTTTCAAGAATTTTTAACTAAAATTCTTCTTTAAATCGATTAGTTTAAATAATTTTCGAAAAAGTTCTTTGATAATTTTCAAATTCATCATGCTTACAATATTCAATTTTACAAAATTTCAATTATTCGTAAATTCTTCAATTAAATAAATATTAGAAAATAAAAACTTAAAATAATATTTAAAAAAATGCAATTAAACTTTTTCAAAATAATTAATTTCAAAATTCAATTATTTCTAAAAATTTACGCTTTATTGCTTTTAATATTCAATTATTATAATCTAAAATTTTAACTGAAATTTATTTTTAAATAAATTTTCATTAAAAAATTCTACTAGAATTCAATTATTTAAATAAAAAAATAAATAATTTTTTGAATAATTGAATGTTTCTTAAAATCTAATTCCTATAAAGAATTTTATCAACAATTTTTTTTATGTTTTATAATAATTAAAGATGACTGAGTGATAAAATCAATATTTTAAATCATTACAATATTGTTACTGTAACTTCTTCGAAATTATTTACATCTTTACAAAATTAATTTGTTTACAATTCAATTTTACAAAATTTCAATTAGTCGTAAATTCTGCAATTAAATACATGTTAAAAAATAACAACTTCAAAAAATTTTAAAACAAAAATTCAATTAAACCTTCTCAAAAAAATTAATTTCACATAATTGTTAGTTAAAAGTATGAAAAATTCAGGTTTTCAAAGATTTTAATTTGAATCCTTTTCAAAATTCAATTATTATCTATAATTGTAACTAAAATTCATTTTTAAATCAATTTTTTTTAGAAAATTGTACGAGAATTAAATTATTTAAACACAAAAATTAATAACTTATTGAATAATTGAATGTTTCTTTAAATTGAATTCGCATAAAGAATTATATTAACAAATTTTTAAATAATTGAATTCTTTTGACAAATTTTAATAAAATTTTTAAAATAATATTACCTTTTTCGAGGAATTCGTTTAAAATTGTATTAAAAATAATTGAAAATCTGCAATGAATTTTATTATTTATGAAAATAATTATTGAATTCCTAAAAAGATTTTTATCATGTATGAAAATAATTGAATCCCATGAAAAAAATTTTATTATCTACGAAAATAATTGAAATTTGGCAAAGAATTTTATTAAAATTTTTAAAAATAATTGAATTGCGGAGAAGAATTTTATTTTTTACGAAAATAATTGAGCCTCAAATAATTAAATGTTTGTGTAAAATTTTGTTATATTTTTTTTTTGTAAATTTTCTTAAAGTATTGAAAATTATTGAATTGAGAAAACTTTTGGAAAATAATTGAATTTCAGAGAAGAAATTTATTATTTATAAAAATAATTGAAATTCTGCTATGAGTTTTATTATTCATGAAAATAAAATTGATTTTCTAAAAAAATTTTTAATAATCTTGAAAATAACTGTATTATTGCGAAGAAATTTATTTAAAAAATTGTAAATATTTTAATTCTTTTGAAAAATTTTATTATTTATGAAAATAATTGAATTATTGCGAAGAAATTTATAAAAAATGTGTAAATAATTGTAAATTATTGCGAAGAAAAATGATAAGAAATTTATAAATAATTGAATTCTTGTGAAATTTTTATTATTTATGAAAATAATTAAATGTTTGTGTAGAATTTTGTTACAATTTTTTTTAAATAATTTAATTCTAGCGAAGAATTTGATAAAAATCATATTTTAAATAATTGACTTTTTTCGAAAAATTTTATGAAAATTGTGTTTGAAAATAATTAAATTCCTGTGAAAACTTTATTATTTATGAAAATAATTTAATTCCTAAAATATTTAACAATATTTACAAAAATAATTGAATCCCTGCAAAAATTTTATAATATTTAAAAAAATAATTGAATTATTGCGAAGAAATTTATAAAAAAAATTTGTTAATAATTGAATTCTTGTGAAATTTTTTTTATTTTTGAAAATAATTTAATTTTTCTTCAGAATTTCGTTACAATTTTTTTTTTAAATAATAAAATTCTTTTGGAAAATTTTCTTAAAATAATTTAAATTTTACCGAAAATTTGATTAAAATATTAGAAAATAATTGAATTTTGGAGAAGAATATGATTATTTATAAAAATAATTGCATTCCTGTGAAATTTTTACTATTTATGAAAATAATTAAATGTTTGCGTGAAATTTTCTTAAAAATTTTTTAAATAATTGAATTCTTTTGGTAAATTTTATAAAAATAGTAAATATTGAAAATCACTAATTTGAGGGAAATATTTTGAAATTAATTGATATTTTGCCAAGAATTTTATTAACATTTTTGAAAATAATTGAATTTTGGATTAGAATTGAATTATTTATAAAGATAATTGAAATTTTGATGAGAATTTAAAAAAAAATTTTGAACATAATTGAATTTTTGCAAAAAATTTTCTTACTTTTAAAAATAATTGAATTTTTGCAATCATTTGTAACTTCTCAAAAATTCCCCAAATTATATCGTACAATTTACGAACTTTTCTTGCTTTTTCGATAAAATTACAGACTTTACGGAACTTTTTTTTTAAAAAAACTGCCTTTTACAGACTTTAAACAAATTTACTGACCTTTACGGGATTTTCGGACCTAGTTCGAGCCCTGGAATTATTATTATTATTCAAATCGGAAAATTATCAAGTCGATAAGAAAAAAATTGTTAAATAAAAAAAAAAAATAATAATAAGATAGAAATATAAAATAAAATATAAAGAAAAAATACCTGTAAGACCGGTGACAGAAGAGACATTCGGTGGAGATGGAAGCCTTCTTGAAGACGTTAAATAACTTGGATAACCAGTGTGAGGGGCGGCTAAAAATCCAGGAAGAGCACTAAGAAGACCCGGAGGTGGCATCCAAGGATCTCCTGCTAGTGCCAATGCAGGTCCTCCAATATTTCTAAAAAAAAATTATAATTTTAATACTAAAATTTTAAAATAAGTGAATTTGAATTAGGAAATTTAATTTTTTATTTCGGCTCTTTTACTCAAAAAAGTATTTTTTTTTTTGAGACCCTTTTAATCTTGAAAATGAACCAGTTTAATTATAGTATCATATCATGAATTAAATTTTCATTATAAAATGAAAATATCAGTTAAACAATAATTTATACCTGTAATTTATTAGCAAAAAGTAACTCGATCGTCTCTCGTTTATGCATAAGCGTCAAAAGGTTAAGTTCTTAATTCATGCAAAATACTTGCCTCATGTTCGCGTGATGATATTCCGAGATGCCAAGCCTGGCGGCTTCCATTTTCTCCTGTCTGCGCCATTTCGCTCTTCTATTTTGAAACCACACCTGGAACACAAATGCGAAAAAAGAAAGATGATAAAAATAGTTTCATTATATTTTTTTATAATTATAATTATTTTATTTTCATAAATAATAAAATTCTTTTTAGTACCTAATTCAATTATCTTCATTCTATTTTTCATTTTTTATTTTCATTTTTTTTTGCTTCGGTTTCAGAAAGTCATCGACAGCAAAAAAATTTTTTTCCTTCCAAAGAAGAAAAGTTTTAATTTGAAAAAAATTTAATAAATTAGTTTTACTTTTGTAAAAATACTTATACTAATGATAATTGTAGACAAAAAAATACCTATAAAAATTCATAATTAGGTAAATAATCTCTAAAAACTAAAATTACTCCCCTAAATTAAAAGTAACCATAAGTCAGCAAGTGCGGAAATATAAAAAAAAAATGAGAAATGCAAAAAAAGACCCCTGTTCCTCCCAATCGATACATACAAAGAAAAGTCATTTTTTACAAAATCGAACGAAAAATTGCCTCACGATAATTATGTGGAAGTAATTTTTTTTTAAATATAGAGCAAAACTTGATAATTGTTTCAACAAGTGGTGTATGAAAAAGAAAAAGTATTCTATTATCGACGAGAGAAAGAAGGTAAAAAATTTTTTTTTTTTAAACCCAACAATATATATATATATATATACCAATGTTGAACACCACACAGTTAATAATCTTGTGCCGTTAATGTGGCGCTGCACTTTAAAACTGAACGAAATGCTGCGTTATCCTAATACCCTTCGCGCCCATATCTATCCCATGAAATCTCTCCACCGTTCACTCTGTACTAATTAGCAGTTTTAACTTCTGTTTCAAATGCGTGCGCGTGCACAAATAGGCGTAGATTATTTTTTTTTTTTGCTTCGGTTTCAGAAAGTCATCGACAACAAAAATTTTTTTTTCCTTCCAAAGAAGGAAAGTTTTTTTTTTCGTTTTTAATGACCCTTAATATATACGCAATGATGCCAATCACTTCTGGAAATGTAGTTTGGTAAATATCAGATCATTTCTTTCTGGAATTTGGTAAATAATTTTTCTCTTACAGTCGAACCTTTTTACAAATCAAAATTTTTAATTAACTAATTCTTTTTAAAGTTGTCAATAAATTATTTTTTGACTATTATTTTTCATAAAGTTGGATCTTAGTATAGTAAGCAAGAAAAAATAATAAAATTGTTACAAAGAAAGATTTAATGCTACATTTCTTATACAAATACAAAAAATAGAAATATAAAAATATATTTATTATTCTCGTTACAATAAAATTTTTTGCAAATTATATAATTAAATTCTTCTCCGAAATTCAATGATTTTCAAATATTTTAATAAAATTCTTGGCAAAATTTCAATTATTTTCAAAAATTTTCCAAAAGAATTCAATTATTTAAACAATTAATAAAATTTGACACAAACCTTTAATTATTGAAAAAATAAATAAATAAATAAAAATTTCACAGGAATTTCATTATTTACAAATTTCTTGGCAATCATTCAATTATTTTCATAAATAATAAAATTTTTACAGGTATTCAATTATTTTGGTAATTAATAAAATTCTTATTAGGAATTCAATTATTTTAATAAATAATAAAACTCATTGGAGAATTTTAATTATTTTTAATACAATTTTAATCGAATTCCACGAAAAAATGTAATTATCTTTAAAAATTTTATTAAAATTCTTCAAAAAAATTCAATTATTTAAAAATTTATAATTTTTTATGAGAATTCAATTTTAAAAAACATTTAATAGTTTTTTTTTATTTAAATAATTGAATTCTAGTAGAATTTTATTATAAAAATGGATTTAAAAATGGATTTCAGTTAAAATTTTAGATTATAATTGAATATTAAAAGCATTAGAGCGTAAATTTTTAGATAATTGAATTTTGAAAAGGTTTGAGATTAAAATCTTTGAAAATTTGATAACAATTCTGTAGAATTAATTTTTTTTGAGAAACTTTAATTAATGCGGATTTTTTTTAAATATTATTTGAAGTTTTTATTTTCTAATATATTCAAAAATTATTAAAAATAATCGATTTTAAGAAGAATTTTAGTTAAAAATTCTTGAAAATAATAATTGAATTGATAATGATTTTATTACTTTGTCATCTTTATCGATATTTATTCATGTTTTATAGTTATGAAAAATTTAATTGTTAGTTTCACTGGTTCGAGCCCTGAAATATTGAAAATATTGAATGTCGAAAATATTAAAAATAATTGAATTTAAAAAAATTAGAACGAAATAATTTAGAGAATTAATTTTTTAAAAACTATGTTAATATTATTTTTAGAGCCTAATTTTCATTAATTTTTATTTTTATTGAAAATTAAACTTGAAGATTATTCATTAAAATGTTTGAAAATTCAATTATTTCCAAAATTTTCAATTAAATCTCTTTAAAAAGTTAATTTTCAAAAATTTTAATAAAATACTTGAAAAAATGATTTATTTTCAATTAAATTTACAAAATTTCAATTATAAAAAATCTTTTTAATTGTATATTTCAAAAATTTAATTAGAAAAATTATTCGAGGAATCGGCTTTTATCGACTGAACCGCCATCAAGCGGTGACCTTGGCGTTCTCAGGTGGAGAATTGCACCTCCATATTGAATCTCAAATTTCTAGTATTTTTTTTAAAAATATTTCCATCCTAGACAAAAAATATTCGTTTATTTAAGAGCGTAAAATAAAAAATTGCAGAAATTAAGTAAAAAATAAAATTCTACTAAAAATTAAATTCAGTATTAAATAATTGATCATATATGTTAAACTATATATTTCTTTCTAGAGATTTCTTTGGCGAAAAATATAATTTTTACGTATAAAAAAATTTATTTTACCCCTAAAAAAAGAAGGAAATTTTTATTCTTATATTATTTTTTCCGATATAAAGGAGAATAATTGAATTTATTTTTGTGTCGAGAAAAGGGAAGGAAAGTGAAAGAGAGGGAGAGAAGAAAGAATGAAGAATAAAGGAATGGAGGAGAGTGAACGAGTTTCTTTTCGGTGACGCAGAGGCTGCTTGTGAGAAAAGTGGCTGGAGGGTGAAATGTAAGGGCGGGGCAGGGCGGACCACCCCTAAACTAGCTTGTAAGAAAAGACAGCGTAGAGAGAGAGAGAGAGAAAAACATCAAGTTTAAGAACCCAAAAGAGAAGGACGTGAAGAGAGAAAGAGGTCCACCCTTCTTAAGCGTCAAGAGGGTAACGAGCTTAAGGGCAAAATCGAAAGTGAGCCTTGAAGAACCCACAGCCCCAGCAGAAGGGGATGAACGGCCATGTTGATTTCTTTATTGTAACATGGCTGCTGTTGGCAGGTTAACTAAAATCTATCGCACATTTTACGGCCAATGGTTATCGAAAATTGCCTTTTAAATCATGTGAATTATTCAACGCGTGACGTTACATTTATATATACAACCGCTATACTTTAGACAAAAAAAAACTCTTTTTTCCTTCAAATACTAAAAAAAAATCAAACAGAAAACTTAAAAGGAAATCTAGGCGCACAAAAATTGAAACTCTAAATCTATTATTTGGGAAAAGTCAATTCAGTAAATTTCACTATATTAGTGATATATTTTTAGCTGTTTCAGTTAATATTTTCGCTATTCCAAGGAAATTTATCTCCGATCCAGATAAAGCTTGTCTTCCCTGAAGTTACACGATCAAAAAGTATTTCTAAACTAATAGTGAAGCTTTTTATAATAAAAAAACAATAATAATAAAAATAATAAAATAACAATCAAAATTATTATAATTATAATAATTGAGTCGGAAAATACTCAAGTTCTAAAGTATTTTTAAGTATAATACAATTTAATTTCCATAAGTAAAAAAATACGATAATAATACTAATGTCGGAAAATACTCAAGTTATAAAGTATTATAACAAAACAAAAACGGAATTAAAACAACTTAAAATTCTCAGTTAAAAATACAAAATAACTGAAATCAGATAATACTCAAGTAAATAAAGTATTTGCAATTAAAAGAATAATTATAATAATAAATATATTTAAAAATAAGCAATTGTTTTCGAATTCTTGTTAATAAAAAAAATACTAATTATAAAATTTTTAATAATAAAAATTATAATGATAATTATAATAATAATAATAATTGTAACAATAGTTAATATAATAAATACATTTGAAAATAAGTAATTTTTTAAAATATTTTTTTCCCTATACAGGAAGAGTATAAAATTCCCTTCCGTCGGACGCTTCACATTTTCAAAATTCAAGTGTTTTTTCACTTAATATAAAAAAATGAATTAAGTATATTTTCGGACTGAAATAAGTTTTTATTTTACTTTAATTTTATTTGTAATGTAGGTACATTTTTAATTTAAATACAAAAGTTCTTATTATTCATTTTTATCATTAATTATTGAGAAATCATTTTCAACTTGAATACTTTTTAAGATATATTTTCTGCCTCTAAATACTTTTAATTGTGTTTCTAATTCTGCTGACAAAGTACTTTTAATTTGAAAGTTTTTATTTTCTTTTTTATTTTAAATGCTTAATTTTTCCCTAAAAATTTTCCATTTTTTGAATAAAATATATTTTTGACTGCGACTTTGATCTTTTCTTCTGACTCTTTTCTTCATTCATTTTTCTGACATTTGTAAACCATAAACAAGAAGTATTTTTTTTAAATTGAGTTAAAATTATTTACAAGTTGAGAAAAAATTATCAAGTTTGTATATTATTGTGAATTTAATATTTTTTATTTTTATGTTTTATATTTTATTCATTTTTCAAATTTTTATTTAAATACTGGAGTAATTTCCGACTGCGTGCGTTTAATGTTAGAGAAAACTGTTGAATGTTTTCCTAATTTTTCCAAATCCTAATTTTTCTAACTTTTTCTAATTCCTAATTCCTAATTCAACTGTTACATGTTTCTATTTTTCTGAATTAGAGATTTCTTTCTTAATTGGAATTACTTTTTGCGAGTATTTTCTGACTAGCAT